CCTTGTTTACCACGTCTGGGCATGAGTCATCACAATGGAATGCAGGGCATCAACCAATAGGCATGCAGCTTTCCTCTATACTTCTTGCTGATTGGCTGTTGGGATTTAACTTGATTAACACCCGCACAGAGCATTTCCACCTGCACAGAGCATTTCTTGCTGATTGGCTGTTGGGATTTAACTTGATTAACACCTGCACAGAGCATTTCCATACTGACAGTATGTCTTTATTCAAGTGTTTTGGTAGGTATTTCAAGCTTTTCTGCTCCAGCATTGGAATGCGGGGCATGAACGTTTTTTATTTTATTTTGAAAATCAACAGTTTGCATTATGCAATTAAAAATCCTAACCAATAAAGTAGGGAATAGCTATCCAACTGTTGTTTTAGTTGTATGTTACTTCATATTATAGTTATATCAATGTAATCATTGTTTTCCCTTGTGTTTCTCATTCTTTCCCTGCCATGTGGTAAAATGTGGTGAACCCATCGCTGTATTTGCTCCAAAGCAAATATTGGCCTTTCTAGTCTTATCTTTGTCTTACCGTGATCCAGCTGACGAAGCCGTTCTCGATGAAGCCGTGGCTGATGAACTTGGTGGGCCGGCGTCCGTCGAAGTTGGAGGCTAGAAGCGACGTCCTGTCCCCGGGCCGCACGATCTGCCCGTCAGCCGGGCCGCCACGAGTCCGCAGGATGAACTTAATCTGCGGAGAGTTTATAAACCAATATAAACGCGGGTACATGCAGGAAGGTACCAAGTTAGTGTTCACGTCTGTAACTGATCTTCGGCGTGACACACCTGCCTCGCTGGCACGCGGCGGCCATTGTTGTATTAGATTTAGAGTCCGCTCAAATAAGTCGTACAAACGAAGTGCGATCGTAAACTCGGGGCATCATTGGCATATAGTTGTGCAAGTTCTGCTGTCTTATATCGTTGCAAGCGGTTGGTTCTGTCACAGCCCGGTTGGGAATTCTACGGCATAAAAATCGTCGACGACCTACGATGAGCGTCATGCCAGACCTTTGCACATCTTCAAGCGTTGTTTCAAGCAGATGTGGTGAGGATTCCCCTCACGCTGACAACCTAGCTTGCTATTAGGCAAACTTGACGAAGCAATCCAAAGATTCATCAAATTTAAGGAGACTTTTGAGCTGAGGTATACATATTTGCTTAGGCCACATCAATTTAATTTGTTGCTTCTCGGATCGCCCTGTCCATTTTATTTTTGATTTGCAAAAAAAAAATTGTTCTAAATCAACTGCAAAATGCTCAATGAAAGACATATTTTGGCCCCAGCGGTTGAATAAAGTCCTATTCTTCGTAGTTGTTAAAGTTTTTCAATGTAACAATGCAATTTTGTTTCATTTAAAGTTCAAAATCAATTGTTTAAATTATAAACCAGCCTGGTAGTATGTTCACTTCATGGCTCATATTGTAACATTTCGGCTATCATGGGGTGCCTTTGCCTGCTTTTTTCGCCCTGTCGCTTCATTTTTTTTTAAAATCCTAAACAAACAATTAAATTGGTGTGGCCTTACGCCAACAAAAAGTTACAGGATTGACTGAAAATTATCCAAAGACTTTAGAAAGTCGTAGAAATCAGTATGCATGCATCAGATCAAACCTGCAGTTCCTCCGGCGCCCGAGGCAGCGATGCTATCGGTCTCTGCAGACTGCCTGACCAGGGGTAGTCCGTGGTGAAACAGCCGAGGTCGCCATAACACACATCCGCACCTGCCAGTGTGCAGCGTGGTGTGAATGGAACATTCAAACTTACACATCAGAATGTATGTTTAGGTCTCTACTCAATTGTCTATAGTGTTCGTAAGACATTAAAGGAAAGCGGTTTTGCCTATGTTTGGCATTCGTCCTTGTCTTCTACCTTCAATTTGCCCCAAATTATATCATCCATCAACCAACGTCTTATAAAGACATGTGCCTCCAATCTTTCATATCAGAAATGAGGAACAACAACAAATTACGGACATATAGATTACTAAAAACACTACGAGTAAAAATATCTAAAAATTACAAATATTCGGCACAGAACAGCCATCACAAAACTCCGGATAAGTTCACACAAACTCCACATGGAAAAAGGCAGACACAACCGCATTCCTCTAGAGCAAAGGATTTGGGAATTTTGCGATTTAGATAAGATTGAGGATGAGAATCATTTTGTAGTAGATTGTACGTTGTATAGCAATATGAGAGATTCCCTATATTCTTCTATCACCCGAACCTGCTACTGGCTCAAACATTTCAAAATCTTCACCCATGTGTGAAAGGCCATCAAGTCGATATCCTGATACTAAATAAATTAAAAAATATTTTAGAAAGCCATAAGATTACCATTATACACTTTACAATTCGGTATAACTGTGCTTTAGACAAATTGACTACAGGGGATCATAAAAAGAAGTAATTTAAAAATAACTAGAACACTTACCACGTATCGTTGTGAGGACGCTCGTCATGACAAACAGAGTTTGCAAGAGGAAGAAAGCAGCCATCATGTCTGAACCCAGACAGTCTGGTGTTGAGAAATGTCTCCTGTTTCACTGAAAACCGTCTCGACCTTACGGCAACGTTAACATGTACCCAGCTTTTATATATACACCATTTATCAAGATTAGCAACCACTGATTGCTTTGTTATAATTTATAGCTGTTTTTGAAGTAAGGTAATATAATGTTATGATAGGATAAGGTGAAATATGTTTATCGTGAGAATGTAGGGGCTGTGGCTACTTCAAAAGACATTTTTATTGCGGACATTTCTTAATTAGACTGACTGTAATTTAAGGTTTATCGTAATCTGAGGGCGAAGTTAAGGGCGGCTGACCTTTACATCCATACAGACAAAACTGAATGACTTCTATTACCCCTGATATGTACGTTCTATACAACCATGTTGTTGTTTCTGTCATAAGGCCACGGCAAGTAATTTTTATGGATGACATCAGCGCGCGTATTAATTTTCGCCTGATTTTGGAAAAAAAAGACAAGAAATTTTGTTGCCGAAAATGGGCAAAGATGACTGTTGCCATACCGGAAGGTGGATGGCAGATAACTATAAAGAGAGGAGACAAGAAAAGGCTCTGATTTAATGTTTTGTTTCTTACTTTGATGCAGTGATATGTGATGCTGGTTGTGTATATGTGATGTTCCCACTGAATAAAAACCATTCGTACAATGATTGAGTCAAAATTTTAAAATGTAGGAACCTTGTTTTTTTCGGCCCGCTCGCATTATATTTAGAGTCATCCATAAAATTTATCTGCTGTGGCCTAAACTAGGCTGACGATGATTAGACATCCAGGCTGAACGTAATTTATGATTATTACATGATAAATCAAACCCATCATTAGTATTCTCTGGCGTATCAGTCATTTGAGATACCGTCTGTCATCTTCCATCAGTGACTGAGAAGTTGTTTTTTTACACAAAATTTTTACACAAACTGAATATAAAAAAAGAAACTAATGGTCATCCCCAGGCTAGTCAATATTAGGAATAAGTTAGGCTCTGACTTCCGTGGTACTAGTGAGCGAAGAGTTCATCAGTCGGATATTCTGATTTAAACATAAGCTACTCAAGGCCACCTACAATAGATTTAACACACATTACAGTCTTGACCTGCTATGTACTTGGACCACTTCTTGTGGGTGTAGTTCTGGTATTCCTTCTAGACCACACTAAGACTTGTTTCAACACAATTTATACAATTGATTAGATATACTACTAGTATTTGAATTATGCTTAACCTTCTATTTTTATTACCTATTCTGTGTATTGCTATAATTGTTGTTATTGACTATAGATGTAAATTTTGATGTATGGGGGGAGGGCAACTTGTAAAGGTGTCTATGCACCTGTTTTGCCCTCCCTTTCACTTTGTGAAAAATCAAAAAAAAAAACATTTAGTAGGTATAGATATCATGAGGCACAAGGATGGTTGCTAGTCGAATGTTTTATTCCAGATGGATTTTTCACACAACCACAACATATATTCTTCTTCTTCTTGTGAAAGCTGACAACATATACGTTATACGTATTCATTACAGATTACTGTTATAGATGGTAGCAGATGGGGCAACATTTAGTCTTTCATATATATGATAACCGCATGTATGTATTACATGTTACTTATTATTTCTTTTTAAGCTGCATTGATAATTTTCATACTTTTGATTGAAATGTTTTTATAAGTTTCTTTTCCTTCCATACTTTTAAACATTAGTCTAACATTGTCTCTAAATTCGGACATTTTCTGTTGGCCACACGTGGCGCACTCATTTTGTAACACCACCACAAAAATGTAGACAAACATAGCTGACAGCTGTGTTTCCAGCTTTTAAACACGCTCGGGCGGCGTAATACTTTGGCACCTTCACTCCCTGAATTTTGTAAATGAATGGCCAGAAAATTGACTTCCCGTATCGTCCTAATGCAGCTTTACAGTAAATGTTTAACCTGTTATTGTCTTTGGATTTAAGTCTATCTGCGACGTTTTGAACATTACAGAAGAATGTTCTTTGGTACATTTGAGACAAGCTTGAAAGACAATTTGTTATTCTACTGAAACAAGTAGCTTAATTAAATCTAAGAGAAGACCAATCAGATTCGATTTTCCAAGCAGCATAGGTGTCTCCATGGCACCGACGACGCAATTGGCCACGCCTTCAGCACAATCTCAGGTCTGACGCAACGTCTTCGACGAAGTAGTTATTGAAGGCGCAGAAAGACATTCTAATGAGAAAGGGAAAAGAAATATATCAACAATTGTATCCATTTTTTAAGATTCGTTTCAATCAAATCATTTTGTTATCCCAGTAACTCCCAATAACCTCATGATGACGAACTTGTGAAGATATTGGTCCCTTCATGAGTACCTGTGTCACCCCTCCCTCAAAAACAACAAAAGAACATGTCATGTCCAGTCAGATGTTAGCTGTGTAGGTAGATACTAGAAAAGAGATGCAAAATACGCCGAAAAAACATAGGTATAAGAAGCCAGAGTAAGTCAAGTCAAGTCAAGTTTATTCATTTTACCAGGGAATACCTCAGATCCAATGATCTGCTTTCTAGGTATCCCTGGACAATCGTTGATAGTAAGCTAATATCTGCTTGGAGCTTCACTATTTCCCTACGTTAAACCGGGACGGCGGCCGGTATAGACTCCCAGTGACCTTTGACCCACTCCTGACATCAGACTTCCCTACAATCAGTGCGCGGCAGAAAAATCAGACGAAGTCCTGGCAAGGGGTAATGGATGATGCCGAAATTTCTCAAGTGATCTGACTTTAAAATTTGTATTTTCCGGATAGATTTTCTAACTTTCAAACTTTATTGTGCAATCAACTTGGTAGTCACAAGGACTAAATTGCGCTGATTTTACAGTACATGTACATTTATAAAAGAACAATTCGTTTAAAAGATCATTAGCGTTAAAAACGATAAAACATTATACAAGAATATTAAAATCTGCTCACAGCAACAACGACAACGTAGACACAGAGTTTTGTGGGCATTACATCATCGACAGAGTTCTGGGGATAAATGAGTTCTTGTGTAAAGTCTTTTTAGTAAAGTCGTCCTCACCTGTTCTGAGATTCTCCCGCCATGACCTGGATCCTGTCCATCCAGATCTTGGGCCTTGAGAAGATGAACCAGGTGCTGGGGTTGGCGATGGACCAGTCGTAGTCCCACAGGAACCGGACCCGCTGGAGGTTACCCAGGTTTGTCGGCAGCTTCAGGAAGTACATGTAGCTGTTTCCGGGCTGAAGCTTGATCGGGTCGCTGTTCAGTAACACAAGTATAAACAAAGGAAATATTACAAAGTATGCTAACAAATAACCTGATTATCTACGTGATATGTAAACCGTGGATGGCATATGATGTAGATGGCATATGATGCCATGCTAAGTTTCTACTAAATTTTGAGGAAATACAAGTTAAGTTAACGGTTAAATCTTCAATGCGTAATAGTACTCCGTAACTGTGCCTGGCTGTGGTGCCTATTCTGTAAGTTTGTAGTACTCCGTAACTGTGGCTGTCGACTGTGGTACATACTCTGTAAGTTTGTAGTACTCCGTAACTGTCCATGTCGACTGTGGTACATACTCTGTAAGTTTGTAGTACTCCGTAACTGTCCCTCGACTGTGGTACATACTCTGTAAGTTTGTAGTACTCCGTAACTGTCCCTCGACTGTGGTACATACTCTGTAAGTTTGTAGTACTCCGTAACTGTCCCTGTCGACTGTGGTACATACTCTGTAAGTTTGTAGCACTCCGTAACTGTGCCTAACTGTGGTACTTACTCTGTAAGTTTGTAGTACTCCGTAACTGTGCCTGACTGTGGTACTTACTCTGTAAGTTTGTAGTACTCCGTAACTGTGCCTAACTGTGGTACTTACTCTGTAAGTTCGTAGTACTCTGTAACTGTGCCTGACTGTGGTACTTACTCTGTAAGTTTGTAGTACTCCGTAACTGTGCCTAACTGTGGTACTTACTCTGTAAGTTTGTAGTACTCCGTAACTGTGCCTAACTGTGGTACCTACTCTGTAAGTTTGTAGTACTCCGTAACTGTGCCTGATTGAGTGACGAAGGACAAGTGGAGGTATCCATCAACTTCCTCGGCATCGGAATCCGTTCCCAGCGTGATCATAACCTGATAGTGATAAACTGTACAAAACACAATGACATATCCTTAAATCTCATTTACATGGATGTCACAAATGGTGACTGTAATCACACTGTTCGGTATAAACAGATATCATAGCACCAATGCTTCCTCGTATTAATGAGCGACTTGTTGAAAACTATACGTGTCAAGTATCAAAATTACATAATTTAGTATTAAAATACATGATTTTGTTTGAACCGGGGCATGGGCCTCTGCACTTCGAAGTAGTTATCGCAGGTTCAAGTTTAATGACTAAATCATTTTAAGAACTTACGACAAGTAGGAGATCTAGCGGCGGTGTCGAGGTAGTACTTGAGGTTGGTGAGGCCAGGTGCAGGTTTGTACTTGTCGGCATGGTACCCCATCTGTGCACAGCCCTGGCGACAGTCCAGGCAGTGGCCATCTTTAAACCTTTTAGAAGTTATACAAAAACATTACTGGAGAACGAAAGGCTATATTTTTAATACTGCCATTCTGGTGACTAACTTAAGTAACGCAAAACACTACAGAATTGACATTATGATGCCGTAGAAGAACCAAATGTATTAAACGGAAGTCAAAGAACCACCATTACCAAACTACGAATCAGCTGTCACAAACTCAGCATCGAAACATGAAGGCACAACCGCACACCTCTGGAGCAAAGGATTTGCCAATTTTGTAGCTCAAAGAAAGTAGAACTCTTTGTTATATTGCTCCTCAAATGCAGTGGAAGACGAAATTCATTTCATCTCTAACTGTCCATTTTATGACGACATCAGAAATCAATTATTTACCACCGTGTCCAAAATGCTGCCTTACTTCCCCACCATTCCCTACCACGAAAAAACATTTTTACTACTAAAATCAAAGAACCCACATATTATAGAAGAAGTGGGTAAATTCGTCTTCCACTGCCTAAAAAGAAGAAGTCAAACCCAGTAAAACTAGTGTCATGTCATGTTGTAGAATATAGTATAATGTTAGAAGTAGATATAGTCTCACATACCACTTTACTTTCTTTCTATGTTGTTTGTAACTGCAATTAGCCTTCGGGCAAGTATTTTCAATAAACTTTCTTCTTATTGTTATTTATTGTAGTTTTATAGATTGTAGTAATGAAAGAAATGATCTTTTTTTAGACATATTACAAGTACGTTTCCATACTTCCAACACTTGCCTAATATTGAAAAAATTATCTTTCTTATGTGCTTTGATCATCCTGTATTATACAAACCATTTCAAATTATATTTTTAACATCACAAAGAAACGAGAAGAAGCCGAACCTTTGTATTAGTGTAGTTTTAGAGCAGTTTGTGCAACAAACATGTATATTACCCATTTCATCTGTTCGCCTGTACTTAGCCCGATAGGGCATGAATGTACAATAAAGGTTATTATTATTATTAAACGTTACCTGTCGTAATCGCGACAAGGATACGCCATCATGGGGCAGATGGAGTTGATGGAGTCGTGGAAGTAGACGATGGCCTTCAGATGGTTACACGCCACGTACTCCCGCCCACCTGTGAGTCAGACGGAAGTTGATTATAAGAGTATTGTAATTCTTTCAGTTTCTTTAAACCGGGACGGGGCCGCCACAGACTACAACCACGCGGTAGAGAAGTAGACGTGGGTACACGCCTTGTATTTCAACCCGCTTATGAGTGACAGGGAAATCATTATATTTGAGAGGTTGTTTAAACCGGGACGGAGGCCGCTACCGACTGCAAACCTTCTTTGACCCGTTGGTCACGTCACACCTACGGAAGGTCCTGTGATCTGAGCAATCGTGTTCTCATTTATATTAAAGATGACGAACGAGCTGATATAAATTCATTGTCGTATATTGTGCGTTCATAGCTGTGTATGTCAACAAGATGAACTTTCGAGCTAATGAAAATGCGTCGGTGTAACTAGGTACGTGTACTACTTCAGAATTGCTATCTTGTCATTTATCTAAGTGCAGTTCACACATTCTCTACTGAGTGAGTGAGTGAGTGAGTGAGTGAGTGAGTGAGAGTGAGTGAGTGAGTGAGTGAGTGAGTGAGTGAGAGTGAGTGAGTGAGAGAGTGAGTGATTGGTTGAGTGAGTGAGTGAGTGAGTGAGTGAGTGAGTGAGTGAGTGAGCTTGTGATATCTTATACACGTATCACGTATCTTGAAACTTGGCTTGAGAAAACATCTAAAAAGAAGTTGCGGACCTTCGTAAATCCCTCCATTCATGTCGATGTAGTGAGTCAGCCCTTCGTCACATCCGGGCATTTCGATGCCGCCGTTTGGGTAGAAATCAAGATGGCCGGTGGGGTCGTACATACCGTAACCTTCACGTGAAGGACATAGAGTGGAAAATTCCATCATTATCATCGCGTCTCTTTCAGGGCAAAAGTGCAAAAACAGCCCCGGAGACTACCCGGATGGGCTAAGGTTTAGAAAATAAATGTAACATGTAACATGTAGCATTTAGCATGTAGCAATGTACCATTAACTTCTGTGTTCATAATATCACCATAGTCCATATTATCGCCACCTTGAGAAAAAATGTCCTTAAAGATATTTTTACTGCAACATACCCTAGGTATTTGATGTGTGAAGGAGTTCATACCAAAAGTATGTTGCAGTAAAAATATCTTAAATTTATATATATATAAAGCACACTATTTCTCAACGTGGCGATATTATGTTATGGACCCTGGTGATATTATGGACACGGATGTTACATAAAAAAAACGGACATAAAAGTCCTTACTATTATTCTATGCAGTGAAAGTTGGTCAAGCTCTGGGTATCACTACTGATCGTACACAGACCTAGACTTGTGAAGAAAAATCCTCCGTCTGAGTGGATGACGTCAACCAACTCGGCATCAGTCGGGTCCAGACGGATCATGGGATCGGTACCCTGGAAATACGGCTCGGCTGGGTCCAGTCCTGGGAATAAAATTTACGTTATCAATCAGTCAATACGATAGGAATCACTGAATGAATCACGTACTTTAAAAGCATGATTATTAATATTTTCGTCAACGTAAGGAATAGTTGGACTTCGGTACAAGTGTCTGTTGTACGGCAGGTATCGACTTCTGTTGACCTTTGACCCACTCGGGTTTCACACTTCAAGTTCAAGTTTCGCACTCCATTGCTCGGTGATCCTCAAAGATATGTTTTTGAATTTATTGAAAAACAAGTGGATTGTATTAGTAGCATTTTCACGTGGTAAAAATAGCCAGAAAAGCGTTTTCCTATTCGTCCGCGAGCAAAGGAGACGCACTTTTGTCGTCTGATGACCCACATAGCTGCGTTCTATATCCGTGACTTTTACTAGGCATTATGGGAAGTGTGAAATTGGTGAATTATATTTGTAAAGTTTACCTGTAATCCTGCCCAGGCCGGGTACCCTCATCCCAGCGTACCCCATGGTGTGGGAGCCCAGACTGTGTCCGATCAGGTGGTACGAGCTAGCAGAGTTCCCTGTCTCTTGCTTCAGGACAACAGCAAAAAAGGATTATGGCAGGAACTACAAGAAGACGTCCCTTTACCACTACACCACAAGCACTGCTCTCCTTAGGCGTACGAACACAGAATACAGTAGTGCATGCTGTCAAGTATGAGCGACGAACATTATGTCTTTATTAGGTCGCTCAATCATGTATGAAGGATTCGGAGAACTCGAAGATAGATGCATTGCAAGTCTTAGAAGCTCGCGAAGGTTTCTTTTGGACAGATTTGAAGAAAGTGTATGGTCAGAGTAAATACGCCTCTTACGGTGCGGTCACATCCGTCGTAGATCGTCATGTGAATTTTATATTTAATTTTAAGACCGCTGAAGGTTGTACAACACGCACACGAACATCAGTATCGGCTCGTCTGACGAATTTCGTACAACACGTGCACGTTTGGGATCGTCCGGAGAGCGTACAGAAACCAGGGCAGAGATATACAGCAAGGTTAAGGTTTTGCCTTTATGTAGAAGAGAACATACCATGAGGAATGTGATCATCTGTGCGACGATAGCCCCCACGATCTGTGTGTTGGCAGTGGCCTGGGTGTACGGAAACATCGAGCCGCCGTTGCTGCCCCAATCCACCGCTATCACGTTACAGTCGTCCGCCCGGAGGATCTCCTGCGACATGTCCTGTTGAAACAGATACAAAATCACGTACCACACTGTACAGTAGGTGGGATTTACCAATCATTGTCATAATAAACGCCAGGTGCGTCTGGTAAATGTTTCTTAAGGCCATAAACGGAATCAGTACAGGTGAAACTGTGGATGGTTCAAACCATTTTCGGCTATGTGTGGGGTTAAGTATCGTCTAAACTGAGAACCGTCCCTACCGTGATCCAGGCAACGAAGCCGTTCTCGATGAAGCCGTGTGTGATGAACTTGGTAGGGCGGGTGCCGATGAAGTCAGACGCCGCCAGCGCCGCCCGGTCCCCTGCCCGGATAAACTCTCCCGTACTCGGGGTGTTACGTGTTCTTAGAAGGAACTGGACCTGAAATATGACAATCTTTATTGACACAGCGAAAATACAACTTTCGTAAGGTCTACCTCAACATACAAACAAGTGAATTAACCTACGTACAAATATATAAATAAATCCAAATGTTGAGTTTGACATATTGCTTATATTTATTTACCAGTTTTAAGGTTTAGACATTCCTTGATGTATTTTTACCTATTTGTGCACACTTATCTCCTCTGGAATGTACAGTCAAACATGCTATACCGACCGTCCATGGTGATATAGCGTGATCAAAAGTGGTCTTCTAGGCAAGCGTTTTCTTATACAAAACCACAGCGAGAAACGCGCATCACAATCCGCACCTCTTTTATAATAGAATGCCCTATTAAGTTCACATTGGGCACAGACTGTCATGCTGTCAAAATAAATGGCAAATGGACTGAATTCATCCATGTTTCTCCACCCAAAACGTTTTCCGCAACACGCTTAAAAAAGCGGCAGGTCCTTTAATGATTACGTCTATGGGGTAAAAATCGGACCAGAGAAAAAACGGTCGTTATTCTTGACGTAAAACAACGTCGTACTGCATTATACTTCAAAGGGCTGAGGTTTCTCTGTGTGGAATATTGATTTAAAAGTTACATCGATTTGAACCACTGTTAACAAAAATGTCCCTGTTTCGTTTAGATATTTATTTTTTGCTTGCTTGTTTGTTTGTTTGTTTGTTTACCTGTATTTCCTCTGGAGGCCGAGGCAGTGAGGAGATCGGACGTTCCAGTGTGAGTGACCATGGCGGGTCCGTGGTGAAACAGCCGAGCTCTCCGTAACACACCTCCACTCCTGCAGGCACAGGACAGAACAAGCCGTCAGGCAGCACAAATAATGATATGAAATGAAATGAAATACCTTTATTGTACACTCATGCCACGACGGGCTAGGTACAGGTCAAGATATAACAGACACATAACAAACGTATATAGAAAATTGGAGACAAGAGATGCACTACTTGAATTAGACATACATACATAAGGAACATACAAGGGTACTATACTAGGCTAATACAAAGTGTTCTAGTCACTGAGCTAATATAGAGAGGTCAACTTCTTCTCGCTTTTTTGTACAGTGGAAAATGTGGGAACAGATCATGTTTGTGATACAGGGTTTGTCTAGACGCATCAATATGATAATATAGACGTGTATAGAAGTTTATTGCAAATCCATGCGCGAGGGCTAATTGCAATTTACAAACATAAAAGAACTCTGAAACAATTTATAAAATAACTTTAAAATGTACATAATGAATTAAATGAAATCTAATTGTCTAAAACTATTGCTATGTCTAAAACTATGTCTGAAGGGTTTGACTTCTCTTTTTTAGACCATGGAAGACGTAATGTCCCACCTTTTCTAAAATTTGTGGGTTTTGGGAAGTTAAAAGAAGAATAGTTTTTTGTTTGTAAGTTTTGGGAAGTTGGGATAAATTGTGGATGTTTGAATAGTCAACTCATTTCGAGCGTTGTTATGAAATGAACAGTTTGAGATAAAATGTATTTCTTCTTCCACAGCCTTTGCACTACAATATTTACAAATTCTTTCACATACAGGTAATCTTCTATACCGGCCTTTCTCTATTTCCAGAGGATGGCTGAGCGTAGTTAGAAATCTGCAAGATCGAGATATCGCTCTATGTTGTACATGATTTGACATTTTGCATCATTTTGAGGTCTCATCAAGACCTATCCACCTACCAAGTTTCATGACAATCCACCCACAAACCACGAACATACATACGCACACCCACAAACGCTAACAAAAACATAGCCTCCGTAAATAATTTCATCAGGTTGGTAAACGAATGCATTTCCTAACGCAGTGCAATTGTGACATACATATTAGGCATTGTTACACCATAGGGACATATGCACTTCCAAATGTGTTTGTATATATAATATAAAATGCATTGTCAACAGTAAAAACTAGCTTAAGTGCACTGTGAACCAAGTAACAGTGCACTGTGAACTATGTAACACCTTTACTTTAGTGCACTATGCACCAAGTAACATCTAGTGTCAGTGCACAGTAAACCAGTCAGAATTGCCCTGATGAAGATGACAGACGGTCATCGAAACTTCGGCTCGTGAAACATAAATGGTTGTGATCAAATAACTTTGCTATTTAAAAACACAGCTTTCTGGCGAAGGTAACAAGGTGTCAAAGAAACACAATCCTCTGTTTTGAAGGATTATTTCCAACGACCTCACATATGTTTGTAAGTAAAAGTTGTTGGTTGTTCCTTTCATGGAAATGTAAAAAAAAAAACAATAAGTAAGTGTTGTTGGTTCCAAGAGACGTGTTTGTTCTGAAAATTTAAAAAAAACAGCAATAACTCTATCTTGTTTACTCGTTGATGGGAAATATTTTTGGGATTATTCATATCCTCGTACCTAAGCAATCGTGTACCTGTCAGAAGATAATACTATAAAATGGCAAATTGTGAAATTAAATATTAATATAATAAACAGGGAGTGCTGTGAAGTAAAATGTGGCAAAACAATAATAAATTTACATAAACAAAATAATTTACAACTCATTTATCAACGTGGCTTTAGCTGATGGTGAGTCTGTCCAGGTAAGCCGTCTAGTAAACATGGTAACTTAATTACTCTTTAGCCAATAATAGGCCAGTCAGTGTCTTTCTGACAGTCGCCAGACATCGCGGCGTCTCATCCGCACTCGACAAACTTCGTCAAGAGACTGGCAATCTTTTATGCAAATGCGGGTGTTACTCAAACTAAAGGCATATGTAGAAAATGCAGAAAAATTCTTCCTTGACCTTTGGCATAATTTTCACCACTAAAAGTTCAAAATAAAAATAGTAACGTACCCAGTGACGACTTGAAGAGGGCTATGACTGCCAGGATTATGATTGAGAAATCCGCCATGTTACAAAACTCTCAACTGTTCTCCTAGCAGCTACAGGCTGGGCACGGTTTGCGTTTGAACTATAAGTAAGAAAGGTCACTGACCCTTGTTTTGAAAGGGCGAGGGGTATTTCCGTACAGTTTTACCGACATACTTGTCTATAACACAAGTATTTCATCATTCACTCACTCACTGGATAGATATACATGGTTTAGTTTTAATGAAGTTAGAAGTTACTGTAAAATATATTCACTATTCCAGCAAGGTATCGCAACCTTCGTAATAAGGTCGCCGTGAGCGTTTTTGTAAATACCGCCCCACATGTGAGGACAAGGGGCAATTTTTTGTGGTGTTAGAGCATTTCACGTTCAGTATTCAGAATCAAGCAACTTAAGACAGGTTGAATCTGACAACAAATAGAGTTTGAAATTCAGAACATGGGGTTTATAATATTACTCTCTCTACCATGGTAAGGTTATACCGTATGTCAATGGATAAGGAGATACACAAATATTTATCGTAATAATTCAATAAATGTTGTAGCATATGAAAATAAAGGGAACAACCTTCATTATTTCAGATACTGTCATCAGCGAATGTAAAAACACCAAAGGAATGCATAAATTCCAACCCCTTGCATCATGGGTATGTTGAAAGGTGAGTTGTACCCCTGTAGAAGTGCCTAGCCGTTACATTAGGCCACACTGTCTTAATTTTATGGATGCCATCAACGCGCGCATTGATTTTCGCCTGTTCTCTCTCTCCCTCAAAAAATATATCACGTCCTCCGAGGCTCTGGCCTGGCTCTAGGCCTGGTTAGTCCGTGGTAGTTAGCGACAATACGGAGCCGGGCACCCAGGCTACCGAAGCTCCACGACTCAAGAACTCAGTACATACGTACAGTGCCGATTTATAAATTCTACAAAAAGCCAGCATGTCCCGGCTTGTCGTATACGTCGCTAAGTACTGCCGCAAATTCACAATACCAGCTTTGTATTCCTGTGGTTTAGTAGCATTTTTTAATATTTGGCCGGATTTTTTTATTCGCCCGCGCGCACTAGTTTGGGGGTCTTCAGGGGATGTCATCCATATAATTAAGGCGGTGTGGCCTAACGACCGTTATCATGTGTAAACTCCGGCCACGCGTACAGAACCGGCACCGGTCCAACAGTGCATATTGACATGTCTACCTCCTGATGATGTTATCAAAGGTCGCTTACTTACAGAGATAAAGCTGGGATTGAGCAGGTGCGAGGCGGGAACCACATCCTGACTCCACTCCGCTTCTTATCGCTAAGTTATATTAGAAAAGTGTGCCATGTGTCACTGTACGCTCGTCCCCAGCGCCCGTGGAGAAGCCATAAGTATAGATCGTGGCTTAGTCCAGGCTATGGAAAATAAACTTTCTTTAATGCAAATCTGTCATTTTTGTTTTCTTTGTGTCTTTCTAAAGGGTTATGATAACCTACTCTACTCGGGTGGTATTTTCGTGGGCGCTCGCTAGTACGTAACGTTACACGGCGGCGATCTGATACACTGCATTATTTCTACCGTATCGGACCTAAAACAAGACGCAAGATTCCTATTTTGGGGTATAAAATGTTGTCACTATGGTACACCTTTTGAAACGGACCTATACAAAGTTCCTTTCTTTGGTGACGCTATGAGGGTGTACCGTTACCAGAAGGGAGTTAGTCACTACCTAGCCCAGCATGATCTCTTTCCCAGGATCGTCTGTGTGATGAACCCAGGCGCCAGAAGCCCTCATGCGGCTGTATAATGTATTGCACAAAAGACTCGCACACGCATATTCAATAGGGTGGTTTAATAGGACGCTGTGGAGGAGCGTGGTGTCACTGTACGCAGGTCACCGTTTTAGTTAATAGCACCCTTCAAGCAGAGGTGTAGGCTTCGGCAGAAAAAATATTGAAAATATTTTCCCAGAGTTGTTGGCCAGCTCAATGCACCCCGCTAACTGCTGTAGCAAAATTATTTCGTCAATTCTTTCTAATTTGCAGCCCACAGAAGAGATCAGGACTATATTTTATTTTCTTAAAATCACGATCCATGAAGTCGAAAACTAGCTAATAGAATAATTTTTTTAAGTCTCCGTTTATATTTGGCACAGTTTGAAAAGCGGTAAGAAATAATGATCGTCCCATGGATTAAAGGAAAGAAAATATTAATGCGATATGAAATGGTCATACATTTTTGTTGCAATATCGTATACGTAACAACGTACTCTTGAAAAGGAAACCATGGTGGTTTTGTTCCAAAATTGGGGGAAATACTGACTTGTGTACAACTTATTACAGAAAATTTAACTCAAATTCGATATGATTCGTATAAAAAAGGTTGTCGTGGCCTACATCTAATCCTGACCTTCAGCCAACCTATGTTGGTTGGTGTTCGGGGAAAGGTTCTGAATGTAACTTGAGGTCGACAAGCTTCTGCCATATCTGTTGATCAAAGGTCGCCAAAGTAAAAACAATCCCCAGAGGAAAGGCCCCCTGGCGAAGAATATGTGAACTGGACATCAATATAGGTCAATAAAGAGCAATGACGCACTAACCGTCATATAGTGTCCATAATCTAGTAGTCGGGACAATGTAAAAGAAACGTTGCAACGTCACACCTCAGGCCACGCCGAGTTAATTTTATGGATGACATCCTCTGAAGACCCCCAAACTAGTGCGCGCGGGCGAATAATAAAAAATTCCGGCCAAAAATAGAAATGCTACTAAATCACGGGAATATAAAGCCGGTATTGTGAATTTGCGGCACTACATAGAAATGTATACTGGCGTATACATTGCGGAATTTATGAATGGGCACTGTACGTATGTACTGAGTTCTTGAGTCATGGAGCTTCGGTAGCCTGGGTCCACCAGAGCCAAGCCAGAGCCTCGGAGGACGTGATCTTTTTTTTTTTTTAGAACAGGCGAAAATCAATGCGCGCGCGGATGTTATCCATAAAATTAAGTCGGTGTGGCCTTAGCAGAATACGTGTATGAGACATAGAAACGGCAAGTTCTAGCTACAAATCAACATGTTTAGTTGCTTATCAATAAGTTATTATTGATTATGCAAAATCTGTGTCTCGGTCTTGTCTTGTCTTGTCCCCATGTAAGCGGACCGTTTTTTTTAAGATGGTCACTTAAGACGTTATTACGTAATGTTAGCGTGCGTAGTCCAGTGGTTAGCGATCCTGCCTCTGGACTAAGAGGTTGGGAGTTCGAATCCCGGCTGTTGTCGCTAACCCGACATGCACGCTACTGTTTAGGATCGCAGTCCTTAGGATGGGACGTTAACCGTGGTCCACTGTTCATTGTGCTTGTTGAAAAGAGCTAGGGGAATTTCCCCGGTACAATGAACCTGTAAATACTGTACATAGCGTCTGTCTTCTCTGTCATGACCAGTGGAAGATTAGCTCTTCAGTAAGCTAAACTGGCTCGAGATCACTTTCACTTTCACCCAGGTGGTCGGTTTTGACAAATTTGACTGTATATATATTTGCAAATGAACATGCATTTACGGCAGGAGGCTTACCTCCTCAATTCATTTATATATTCTGGAGTTATTGCTTCAATTTTTCTGGTTTATATTTGTACTTCAGTTAAACCTCTGTTAACTTATTTTTTTAAAATACAATTTCTAATCAACGTTATTTACCAATTACTTTTGTTATTTATTGTTACTATTTGATTTGTTACCGTTATCATATTGATCGAATTTTTCAATTACTTTTGTTATTTATTATTACCATTTGATTTCTTACCATTATTACAGTTGTTAATTAATTTAGTCGGGGGAAGATTACGGACAAGCCATTATGGCTTCTTATCTTTCCCCTGCATATCCTATTTTACTGTAATATATTCATTTTATTGTTCTTCTCTCTGATTATATGCGAATAAACAAACAAACAATACCTATGAGTTTCCGGCAGACTTCCCGGAGGAAGCTGTCCCTGGGCGTGAGCACCAGCCCGTCACAGTACGGCGGGATCCCGGGCTGCACAGCCGACACATCTGCGGAATCAACACGTACAAAACTGTTTATTTGTTTGTTTATTATGTTTACCGAAGGAAAACATATTTTCCTTTTGCTCTGTTCCTTCCTCTTCTTCTTCTCCAAACAGTGACCTATGACCTGACATGATGTGTTGACGTCTGTCACCATGGTGACTGGTGTTAAGTTACATAATGTTGCAATTTCATGGTCTACTCTGCTCCTGTCACCATATACTAGTAGTACATGTATGTGAATGTGTTTGAGTAAGAAGTAACAGAGCAGACCATGTGCAAAGGTAAACATTATGCATTTGCTTTGCAAATGTTACTTCTCTAGTTTGTTTATTAAAATTTCCAGCACATGCGTGGAGGGGGAGGGAGAACAGGTGGGTCACCTTTACCAGCTCGCTCCCCTAATTACAGCAATGAAAAGCATTCTAAAATAACATTGGAATGAAACACATTGAGAGAGTAATACATAAACAAACATACAAAAATATGGAAATGTAACATTTCAGATATCATCATATAGACGGGTGACGTTGACCTCGTTCGCTGCGCTCACTCAGTGGCTTTATTCGGTGGTTATAGCAACTGACAAGGCTTTATCACACCATATTCACCTCGGGGCGGGATCGATCATTAACCCTTAATTATTCTACGTTGATATCAGCGCGGTCATAAATACCATGCATGTCCCACATCTGCAAGCCGCAGACTGTAAGTAGGGGAAGGTTTTTGCGAATTAGGCCACAGAAAGTACATTTTAGGGATGACATCCACCGCAGAGTCCAAATCTAATGCAACAGGACGAATAAAACAAGGCGGCCCAAATGAAAGCAAGATTCCTGCATTTTCAAATTTTGACATCATGTACATTTTGATAAAAAAGAAATGATACCTATATTGTACTAAGTTTACTGCCAACATAATCTACTTCTCATTGAAACAGCTTTGAAAAATAAAAGTTTTCAGTCATTGTACAAATGGTTTTGATTCAGTGGGAAGATCACATATACACTGCCACCATCACATATGAACGGAATGAAATACATGAAAGTAAAAGACAAAACATTGAACCAGAGCCTTGTCTTGGCTTGTCTTCTCTCTTCATATTTATCTGCCATCCACATTTGGGCATGACTAAGGCAGTATATTTTCGGCATGTTGACCATTGTCAGGGGGCAACAAAATTTCTTTTTTTTTTGTTTGTTCCAAAATCAGGCAAAAATTAATCCGCGCGCTGATGTCATCCATAAGATTACTTGCTGTGGCCTTACGTGAATTTATTAGAAGAAAAGAGACTGTATGACGTATTTTGACAAGAACTTAAACTATCCAGGGTTGGAGGGTTGTTCGTACTGATAGTTATTGCAATAGTTAATCAACAAAAACGTCTCCACCTTTATATGGCTTTTGTCAGATTTATACTAGCAGACCATTGCAGAACATGAAGTTGGTCAGTGTAGTCATTGCGCCATTTGATCTGCAAGTGATCTGAGATTCCTTGGGTCCTTTCAAATAAACCAAGTATGAAATTCCAGGCAGTAACCATGATGGAACTATAACACTTTCTCATTAATTATGCAAATTAAGTGTTAATTTACATAATCAATATCTGCCTGTGTTTCTCTCGTTCTCAATCACATATGTAACAAGCTTGAATAGTCCTATAATGTAATGCAGCTGATTTATAAAATTTCCTCATAAATTATGCAAATTGCACCCAGATTTGCATAACTGTCGCATAATCATGTCAAGCATCACTTAAGCTACCTACATACTAAAAATCACGACGATCCGCTAACCGGTTCTTGAGTTATCCTATTTTGTATATTTTTAAAGAAACGCGCCCTGCTTTTTCTGCGCAAGCCGCTAGAAGGACCAGGCTTACGTCACTTTTTTTCCCAGCACAAGAGCTACCTACCACTCAAATCTCGTACCCCTAGCATGTCTAGATCATGAGATATCAACAAGCTGCCAGGGGTCCCAAAATATAATCTTCTCGAGGTCTCAACAAGATCTACCCATATACCAAATATGAAGACAAGCTATCAAAGCCTTCTCGAGTTATCGTGTTTACAGCTACACACACACACAGACGTAATTATGCAAATTACATCCAGATTTGCATGCTTATCGCATAATTATGTCATGCGTCACTGAAGCTACCTACATACCAAAAATCACGACAATCCGTTAACCGGTTCTCAAGTTATCCTCTTTTGTATATTTTAAAGAAACGCCTCTGCAGTTTCTGAGCAAGCCGCTAGACGGCAAAGACTTACGTCACTTCTTCCCCTACCACTCAAATTTCGTGCCCCTTGCATGTCTAGATCATGAGATATCAAAACCGGACGTTCCGCTGCAGTACCACAACAAGCCGCTAGGGGGCCCAGAATGCAATCTTCTCGAGGTCTCAACAAGACCTACCCATATACCAAATATGAAGACAATCCATTTAAGCCTTCTCAAGTTATCGTGTTTACAGACAGACAGACGAACGCCGATTAAAAGATAACCTTCTTGACGTAATCCAGACAATTACGTCTTTAATAACACCCGTTTACACCAGGCATTTTCACCATTTTCTGCTGAGATTAAAGTTCTCTGATGCTCGACTGGTGAATTCCTGGTGAACAAGCCATTCATGCTTTGGCGCGAAATTTGTTCCGCACTGAGATTCTTCTGTTTAATCAAGTTGTAATAGTCTGACTGAGTGGAAAACTGTTTGCGTTACTCTCCAAGCAGAGGTTAATGGGGGAAGATCGTTACCTTTGTATATATGGCCCGTATTTTCATGTGGGGGTAGCAACACAAAACGGGGGATATAATGTTATAAAAAGGTAACGATATTCTTTCCCCATCAACCTCTGTTTTGAGGGTATGTTTAAGTATCCTTGTGCCGAACACCAGTATGTAGCTGAAGCCCCTGTCACACATTCAGCAACTTCGAATTCCCCTCGACCACAAACCAACCAAGGTTGGCTGAAGTTCGGGTGCAGTCTGACCAGATTTGGGTTACGCCTGCGTTTCTACGCGAATTGAATCAAATTTGAGTTGAATTTTTCTCGAATTTGTGTGTGTGTGAGGGGGGGGGTGTATGTGTGTATGTGTGTGTGTGTGTGTGTGTGTGTGTGTGTGTGTGTGTGTGTGTGTGTGTGTGTGTGTGTTTGCGCGTGCGTGTTTGCGTGTGCGTTGAAACATAGGCTGACGCATTCGACAAGTACTAGTAGCCAACCTTGCAGACCAACTGCCAACCACATCCAACCTTACTCACGACAGACTCCCAACCCTAGTCTCTGGAGGTAGTTGGGACTCACACAAGAATGTTCATAATATTCTCTCTCCATCCCTCAGTCTCCTTTGGTCCCTCATGAATTAACATCAAACTACGTACAAAAAGCCGCCTGATTAAGAAATACACCGGTAACGTCCTGTCAGTCTTGTGAAGAATTTTCTCAAACGAATGCCAAACTTTCCCACCGCGTACGCGACATAGCACACCGTGTGACTGACGGCTGGATAGCCGTTACCATGGCTACAGACCGAGAAGTGAGGACCGCTTGTTCAGAACAAAATCAGAGATCTGCCGAGGAGAGAGCAGAGACGACTACTTGCCTGTTTTCCCGCCCAGCCAACACAAGATGCAAAAATGAGGACGGACAACCGCCGCCGTCTGATCCACCGGTAAGCTAGAACAGTTGATCACACTCGGCGTACGATTTTGTTTTGTGTGGTAGGATTTCACATTTCATCGAGGGTACGAAGTAAGCAAGCCGTCGACAATGATACACGCACCCAAAGCAATTCAGGACATTTTAATCTAGATTTTCTGGTTATTCTTTTACTGTAGTAAGTTGAAATAACCCTATTCCATAGCATACTGATATTTGTAAGGCAAAAAAATGACGGGGTTGCTTTGTTTTGTTTTGTATGCTGGTTCTAGCTATTTATTGGCGGTACCAAAAATATCGGACTCATCACGTAGCTTGTCAAATGTTTCAGGTATGAAATGAGAGCGTACAGTAAATATCAACATCAGATTTTCTCATCCATAATTTTTCTTATTTTTCCGCCTGAAATTGAATTGGATGTATGCATATGCGACTTTCCCAACTAATAAAAGTGTGATTCTATTTTGGACACAAGCCTAGTACATACACATTATTTAGTCTTACGTCGCATCTCAGTCTCCATTCTAACATGGGTAGATTGAACGTGGCTAAGTGGGCTGAACTAATTTTTGTTCCTTAACTATTTTCAGCGACTGCTGGCCGTTTTCCGGGCTGTTGCTGCCGGCACGCAGCCCATCTGCCGTACGCTCGGGAACAGGTGGTTGGGACCAGCGTCCCCCGCCGCCGGTAACTATTACCTTCTCACCCCGCTCATAACGTACTCTTCAGTACCGTGGCCGACAGGTACAAAGTATTGTAACACTGTCGTATAGCATCTAGGGATTTTGCATAAAGGGGTCGGAAAAGATAAAAAAAGTCATTAGGTGTTACTTTCTGACCCTAATTATATATACATCAAAGCCCCTAGATGTTATACTTCAACAGCGTTATAATTTGTGCCTGTCGGCCACGGTATCTTAGCTAAGTTGAAGTATTCCTTGTATTGGCCTGCTCTATTCTTTGCTCTTTGAAAGTGACTGTTTACATGCGTCGTGTGATCGCAAATTGAGAGCATTCTTAGGATAGTCGTGCATGTGCCATGTAACAAAATTCAGCTGTGTTTTTACGGGAAAGGATGCCTTAGTCATTGTTGACGTACGGTTAATTCTATCGCATCCTGCAAGGAAATTCTACGGAATGTGGCCGCATCGTAAAATATGAATGTACGGGGTAATGGCAAAACAGTTTTTTTTTTCTTTCTGACAATGTTAGACATTTTATTAATCAAACAATACGCCATTTTTAATGCTGCTAAACGTACACGTGAGGCAATGTGACGATCACTTCAAATCTTGTGTAGTCTTCGATTCGTTTTTTGCATGAAGTTTATACAATATTTTC